ACGCAGGCGGGAGCCCGGGGTGGGTCTGCGGGGCCCTGGGGCACGGCCTGTGCCCTGGCCTCCCGGGCGGGTAAGCGGTGCCTCAGGCCGTTCCCTGCAGCGGAGGGAGGGGCAGTTGGGCAGGTGCCGGTCCCGGAGCCCAGCAGGAGGGCACGATTTTCACGTGTTGGAGCTGGGCGGAAGACCCTTTCGTGTCCCCTCGCGACAGATCGAGGCAGGGGCCTCCTGGTGACCGTTCCGAGGGGAGGTGGGGGGGGAGCACCCCCAGTTCCACTGCCCAGCAAAGCTGTAGCAGTTAAGGGAGCGGTACCTAAACCAAAGGGTACAGCACTGGGCTGCCTTTTATCAGTTGAACAGTTTGATCTTGGATAGGACCACGCATGAGGAAAAGGAATTGTATACACACCGTACAGAAGTTTGTTTATTATGATAGGCTGAAACAAGTATTTAATCATTCCATCTTAACTTCTTTGTGCAGCTTGACTCAGGGTTAACGTCAAGAGATGTCAACTCCCCCTCTCGCTGGGGCAGGCATGCCGCCTGGTGCTTTCTCAGGGACACAGGCTCAAGCAGCTAGGGAGGTAAATACAGCTTCTCTCTGTCGAATTGGCCAAGAAACTGTGCAGGACATTGTGTTTCGAACCATGGAAATCTTCCAGTTACTGAGGAACATGCAGGTGAGAAATAACTTTTTCTTTTTACGGTCCTTAACTTCCCATGTTTTTACCACCAACTGCTGGGATATGTAGGCACAGGAGATAGCTTAGGACATTAAACATATAACTCGGTCAAACTGCTTTGAAAAGGGGGCTTGACTGGAGAAATGGATACTCCTCTTAATATATTTGCTTACTCCTGTATGTTAAGTGAAGATGGAGAAAATTCAGAAATGCTGTATTGTTATTGCCCCACAATAAATATACTCTAAATACACTTAATGTCTGTGTTTTCCTTTAAGAATAGTGAAGTCTGTTTATATGCCAGTTACATTTCTCTGTTTTGTTAACATCTGGGGAGTAATTTTAGAGGAACTTTCATTTATCTTCTTCTGTAATATTTTCCACGTAGAACTTTTTGACATTTCTTTTTATTATTAAAGTGGACATGATCCTTATTTGTGGCTACTTACTGAGAAAACATACAAACATTTGTTGTGTTTCTCTGTTGAGAGCAGAAGATAAATAATCACTCCCATTCCCTCTGTATTTTCATGACTCTGGCAGTTTCCTTCTGTAATTATCTTAGGTATAGGTATGCGTACTTAGAGTTTGCTAGCTTTGAATTCACTTTGATTGTGTCTCTGAATTGTGACCTGGGGTTGAGACACTAAGTCTCAAAGTGTAATACTCATAACAGATAACAACAGTGTCATGCTTAAGCATTTTGAAGACATTCACTAAAAAGAGTTACAGAGGGATTGACAACGACCGAAGTGTAGAATACGTGAAGCTGTTTGACAGCAGTGATTTGGCACATCAGATGAGCAGATAAAATGCAGAATTTTGCTGATAGAGAAAACAGAAATTTCAGTTGATTCTTGTGGGGATAGTGTAATTGTCTTATTTTAAAATGTAGAAAAACCCCTCTGTTTATTTTGTGTGACAGAAACTTTAAAGTAGTATTTTTAACGTTTTGGGGTTTTGATTCTCTAAGTTACCAAATGGTGTTACTTACCATACTGGAACATATCAAGACAGACTGGGAAAGCTGCAGGAACATCTCCGTCAGCTATCGATACTCTTCAGAAAACTGAGACTAGTCTATGACAAATGCAATGAAAACTGTGCTGGGCTCGATCCTGTTCCCATAGAAGTAAGTATCTTTATTCATATATAAATTACAAATCAGAATAACCACTCTCTGCTTAGCATATCATCCATTCTCCTGGGTTGCAGGAGACTCATAACAAGTTTTAAATGCGACTGGAATTGTTCAGTGGACTGAATTCTGTTTATTATTTGGAGCTGGTTGAAAGATTGTGAAACTTTCACATTAACATCAACAATTCTTACCAATTGGGAGGGATCCAATTTTGAAATCAAACTTCATTTAAAATGTTAGCCTTTTTCCTCAGGCTTCTTGGTACATTCATCAGTTTGTTTCCACTAGGAAAAAAAGAGTCAAAAGAGTCAGGGCCAGTTTTTTTAAAGAGATTGTTATAGTGGGGAAAAGTCTGCTTTAAGCTCTCACCTGCCAGCCTGGCTCCCTGAGTACTATGCGTTATTCCCTTGCTCTGGCCATCAGTCTGTGCCTCTCTAGTTCCCTCACTCAGCTGCTCTTAACCTGCTGAGCCAGTATGAACAAAATCTGAATGCGCAGTGGTGATGGAAAAGTGAACAGCATAAGACTTCCAGGAAGTAGGATCGGCCAAAGTTTTTCCTAATAAAAATGCTAAAGAAGGGCAACGAAGCTGGTGAAGGGTCTGGAGAACAAGTTTTATGAGGAGCGGCTGAGGGAACTGGGATTGTTTAGCCTGGAGAAAAGGAGGCTGAGGGGAGACCTCATCGCTCTCTACAACTCCCTGAAAGGAGGTTGTAGCGAGGTGGGTGTCGGTCTCTTCTCCCAAGTAACAAGTGATAGGACGAGAGGAAATGGCCTCAAGTTGCAGCAGGGGAGGTTTAGATTGGATACTAGGAGAAACTTCTTCACTGAAAGGGTTGTCAAGCCTTGGAACAGGCTGTCCAGGGAAGTGGTGGAGTCACCATCCCTGGAGGTATTTAAAAAACATGTAGATGTGGTGCTTAGGGACATGGTTTACTGGTAGACTTGGCAGTGTTAGGTTAACGGTTGGACTTGATGTTCTTAAACATCTTTTCCAACCTAAATGATTCTATGATTCTATGATAATATTACACCCCAACCTAAGTAACAAGTTAATATGCATGCGATGAGCAACTTGCTCCCAGACTTTTAAACTAATTTCTTCTTGCTCATTTGCATCAATTACTAGTCTTTCATTTGTCTGTAATGTGTATGTGAACAAAGATGTAATTTTGCTATCAACTTCAGCTTTTCTCAGTTCAGGACAGAAGAATCAACAATAGACTGTAGACTTTGTGGATGTATGTTATGTATAAAATGTTACAGCTTGTAATTATTTTTGAATAAGATGCTAGTAGCTTGGGAGTGTTCTGACACAGAAGCATGTATTTGTTTTGTATCTAGTATATTTACTGATTCTTTTTAATTTTTTTTTCTTAGGGAACATGCATTAATATTCATTTAGAAATTCTTTATCAAAGATTTTTGGCTTTGTAGAAGCTTACAAAAAAGATAGTACACTATACGCCTGAGGAGATCACAGTGGGAAAATTCATACAGAAAAACTATTAGGTAACTGTGAGCCTGGTCTTAAGAATAGCCAAACAGAGGCACACTAAAATAGCAAGTCATAATTAGGGTATTAACCAAGTAGCTATGTAAAGCCAGTCATAATTATGTTTACTATATCACTGAAATACTTTATAATAATGATAACTTCATGTTTGTGGTATTTCATAGTGTGGAATAGTAAATTTTAAAATCGCAATCTACAGAGTTGAAGAATACAAGGATTACCTGTGACAAACATCTTAAAGTATAATGACTGGGTTCTGGCTGCAGTTGTGAAGTTGCTTAGGTCTAGGTATGGCAATATGTGGGATTGTGTCTTTTTGAAGCACACCGTTTTCGTGGAGAACTGACTGAGGTCATTCCAAGGCCTTTGGGTTTGCGGCGATGAAGTAAGCCTGTCTCCACTTCCTCTTGGGAAGTTTGAACCTTTGCAGAAAATGGTAGTACCTTATGTATCTCCTGTTTTCAGTTTCTTTTTTTCTTCTTTTTTCCTTTTTTTTTTAATTTTTTTTTTCAGCTAATGTTTCTTGTCTTCACAGCAACTTATTCCATATGTTGAAGAAGATGGCTCCAAGCACGATGATCGTGGTGCTGCAAGCCAGCTTCGTTTTGCTAGTGAAGAGAGAAGGGAAATCATGGAAGTAAATAAGGTAACAAAGTTGAAATTAATTTGCGTAAAACTGTCACTTTGTCATTACAAAGCTTAAATTTCTAGATTGCTGTATTAAATGCAGCATGTGTGATGACTACCATCAAACTTGGTAATAAATACTTCTTGCATATAACTATTTCAGAATTACCTTTTAAGCATTTTTTTTTAGCTGTACCTCTGGCTGTAGAGTTTAGGTTTCCTGACAATTTTAACTTGTGCCTCTTTTTAAACCAATATATATTCTTCTGAATACGGTGTATTATGTTTATGCTTAACCCGCTACATATCAGCAGTACAGATTGAGGTATGGTGCCTGTTGAACTTACTCCTCTTCAAAACTTACCTTAGGCATTAAAAAAATGGGTATTGAACATCAGATGTGTAAATATTATCACAGTGATGTGAGTTGGTAAAGGATTTTCAGGGCTACTTTCTGTATTTTGACAGTTTGAGGAAGACCGTTCCTTTTGTTAAATGTGGCATTTATTGAATCTTGACACATTCAGAAAAAAATATACTATGTATGATAAAGCCGCTGTTAAATTTTCAGTTTGAGTGGCAGTATGCAATTGAGTACAACTACTAAAGATGGATTCAAATCTAAAAATAAATATGCTGTAGTAAATGCTAATATAATATTGAGATGAAAAATACGTAGTTTTACCAGACCACAATTTTGAGCATTGTTTCTTCAATCTGTAAAGTACAGATTGAAGAAATCCTACAAAACCAAGATTAATTAAATATTTCTGTAGCTGTAATATCTGTAAATGCTTGGTAAAAAGGAGGCATAATCTACAAAAATAACCAAGCAAAGGAAATAAATGAGTAAAATATTTCTTTATGTAGAGAATATTTGGTGGATTTTCAGCTTTTAAAATATTTCTGGTATTTTAATAATTGTACCAAAATTTTCATAACCCATTTATGTAGAAAAATGCATGCATATTGTACAGGAGAAAATGGGAACAACATGAATTTAGAGAAAAGCAGTTGTCAGCTGTCCTGTTGTATTCTTTCTGTTCAGTGCTGATGTAGCAGGGTTGTATATATTATATTGTATGTAATGTTGTACTGTGAATTTATGCACATTTATTTGCATTCTTTAAGTGTTAATAAGCTTAACTGTCCATATTTGCTGTGTTTTTGATAGTTTTATGACATGTTTTTGCCCTTGTTGTACTTGTATGCTAATACGTTTTTAAACCTCCTTGGTGTGATCTTGTGAGAAGAATTTCATAAATGTTTATGATGAGTTCTAAACCTTAAAAATGTTGATGGTGTTATAGGACCATTGGTAGCAAATTGGTAATTAAGAATGTATGCAGACATTCACTTAAATCTGGTCTGAAATCCTGTATTTACACTTAAATGCCTAGACCTAGTTTCCAGATTTTCCACAGTAGATCTTCAGAAGGTAGTTGAACTTTCTCTAGTATTTTTGTGGACTAACTGCTTCAAAAGAAATTTAAACTTCTTGGTTTTGAAAGTGCACTGAATTTTTTCTTTTGTCTCTCTCCAGCTGTATAAGCACATCCACTACCAGTTTCAAAGTTCAAATTTTAATACATTACAGAGTAGGAAATGCTTTGGGTTTTTTATGACTAGAAATAAAGAAATTCTTATTTTTGCGAAGAAAAATCACTAGAATCTGGTTAATTAGTCTAATTTCTGACACTGGCTGCTGGGCTCAGATAGCCCTTTCTGGTTCTTAGCTGGCACTCCTGACAGCTTTTCAGTCCTCTGTAGTATGTAACATCCATCTTCAACTCAATTTTGCTTTATTTATTTTAGCAAAATTTCAGTAATACAAAATGTTGATGAAAATGCTGTGACAGGGAAACCAACATGACAGATGAAGAAGCTTTTTATATTCTTGACCTTCAGCTGGTTGTCCTGCTCTCACCTAGTCCTTCTTGCTGTGATAGGCAGTATTTTTTCAGTGTTGCATGTTACTGGTACCAAAAAAAGCATTATTGCAATAACCCAATACTTTGGCACTATTGAGACATTTGAATTCTTAGGCCTTTCATGGGTCTCTTAATTTTGCCATTCTTGCTGTGATATCCCAGCTGCTCTGATCTCTTTAGTAGCTCTGGATGTATGTGAAAGACACTAACTGCCCTGCAGTGTGGAGCACAGCCAAAACTAGTAGATCATATAAACCTTGCGGATCATATATTCTCACACAAAACCGTCCCTCCTTCCAGGAACCACTGACTTGAAACATAGCAGCTCTGCTTTGCTACCGCAGTTGTCTGGGAAGGGAGCACCCTCAGTGGAGGAGGAGTGTCACGTACTTCCTATACTCACCATCTCCCTCATGGGGCAGGAGAACCTGTTGATGTAGCAGAGTTCCTAAATTCTGCAGTAGCTTTTGATGATGGTTTACTGTATAGTGACATCTTTTGGTCTTTATTTATCTACTATATTAGACTTCTCTTTTAGGTCAGAAAGTTTAATGCGCTCACTTTGGCTAAGAAGTACTTGTCCATTAATTTAAAATGCAGATCAGTTTACAAGGTAATGAATTTCTGTCCTAGCAATTCAGTAATATTTAGCAATTGTAGGTTTAAATAAAACCTATTAAGTTTAAAAACAAAAGGGATTTTTGCCAGCACTAAGAAGAGTGCACCATTATTCTAAAACAACCAAACAAACCATTTATTGAGCACTGACTACCTCTACCTTTTGTACTAAACAATTCTCTCCTGCAGTTCCCGAAAATGTTGCTTATCCATTTTATCTGTATTTGCTTTTTAGGGTTGTAAATTGTTGAGGTGGTTGACTGTTTTCTGAAATAAATAATTTACTATTCCAAAATCAGTTTAGCATTTGCATTGGTTCTACTAATACAAGTCCTGATCCGGTTTTCACTGAGGATAATTACTATTTGCAACAATTGGAAGCTGTTACCAAAATTTCCTCGCTTGTCTTCATATTTTTTGAGTCTTTGATGTTCAATCTACAGGTTTTTTACCTTTTAAGTATAGCATCATCTGTAATATTTTCAAGATGTCAGGCTCACCTTGGGTCCATGGTCTTGTAGTACATTTGACAGGACTTACAACAGAAAATATCAAATCACAGACTGAGAACACTTTGTGTTGCTGCCTTATCAGCAGTTTTCTTTACTGCTTGTTTTTAGAAATGGAGCAAGTACAGCTTTGCTTTTTTAGATGCTGTAGGTCTGGTTTCAAATGAAGCACTTAGGAAAACCATTGCATAATTAGTAGTCTCAGTACATTTGGCTGAAAATGAAATGATGTGAAATAGCATTCAACATTCCAGTGACCCTTTAGAAAACAATCATGTTTGATATTCTTAATTAATCTTTGCTAACTGGTTAACAGTGATCTTGCTAAGAGAGTAAAAGACAATCTGCATGACAGGCTTTTAAGTTAAGCTGTTACAAGTTTTAGCTCTGGGCTTTTTTTGATAACAAAACCATTGTGTACTGCGGCTGATGTTGTTTAGGGAAGTAGTCCTTAAGATGACAGCAATTTGCAATTAGTCTTTCTCTTTGGAGAACTTTACTTGAAAACTACTTTTGACTATGCTGAAAACCTGCATTGCTTTTAAACTATCTTGCACGCTATTTGCGTGTATTTTTAATTTCTTTTGTATTTGTAGAGTCCTTTTTCACCCAAAGTATGAATGTGCACCAAGGAACACTTTAACAAGAGGGGAAGAATTGTTTATTGGTATACCTTCTCAGCAGATTAATCTGCACCAGGAGCAGTTCCATCCTGTTTTGGGTACCTAAACTGGCTCTCTGCAATGGTAGGATCATAGAAGAATTTAGGCTCAGTGGGAGGTCTGGAGATTGTCTGATTCAACCCCCAGCTCAAAGCAGAGCCAGCCAGCAAAGTTAGATCCAGTTACTCAGGCTCATATCCAGTAGCATTTTGAGTATCTGTAAGGATGGAAATTCTGCCCTTTCTAGGCCCTTCTTAAGTGTTGACTTCAACTGTGAAATTTTTCCTAGTGTTACATTGGAATTTTCTTTGTTGTAACTCATGTCCACTGCCCCTCATTCTTTTGCTGTGTACATTCAAGAAGAGTCCAGCTTTGTCTTTTCTATGATCTTCATTAGGTAGCTGAAGACAGCATCGTGATCCTGCCTTAGCCTTCTCTGCTTGAGACTGAATAACTATAGCTTTAATCGTCTTGGTGGCCTTCCACTAGATGTTCTCCAGTATGTTAGTGTTTTGTATTGAGCCCCAAATTGGATAATTGTTCTCCAGAGCCAAATAGAGGAGAATAACAATTTCATTTGACCTGATAGGTACACTCTTGCTAATACAGCACCGTGTGCAGTTAGTCTTCATAGTTGCAAAAAGATCCACTGCTGACTTATGTTCAACTTGTCAGAAAGCTTCAAAAAGGACGTCAGGTCCTTTTCTGCAAATCTGCTTTCTATTCAGTCAGCCCTCTGCCTGTGCTGTTATATGAGTTTATTCTGTTTTCAGATGTAGGATGTTGCTTTAATTGAAGTCCCTGAGATAGGTGTTGGCCTGCCTTTCCCACCTGTTGAGGTCCCTCTGAATTGGACATCCTACCGCTGAGTATATTGACCACTTCCCCCAATTTGGTATTGTCCACAAATTTGATACTTTGATATGGTTATTAGGTCATTAAGTGTGCATAAGTCATTAATGAGGATATTAAGAATATTGACCTTAGTATCAATCCTGAGAAACATCAAGAGTGACCAGCTGCCACTTGGTCTTAATACTGATGATCACAACATTTAGAATCCAACAGTCTAGCCAGTTTTCTATCAACCCTATAATCCACCTATCCAAACCACATCTCTCCAATTTGGCTACAAGGATACTATGAGAGACTATATCAAAAGCCTGACTAACATGAAAGTAAAGAAAATCCCGTGCTCTCCCCTTGGCCACACAGCCAGTCATTTCTCAATAGAAATGTTGGCTATCATGTTGGTCAGGCACAACACATCTTTGGTAAATCCAAGATGACTGGTCCCAGTCACCTTATCATTCACATGTCTGGACATGACTTCCAGAAGGATTTGCTGCATAGTCTTTCTGGGGTCAGGGGTTAGGCTGACCAGCCTGTAGTTTCCATAGTTTTCTGGATCCCTCTCCTTGCCTTTCTTGGAGATGAGTTGAGATGTTCCCTTTTTCATCAGAGGCCTCTCCCCATCTCCAATGGAAAATTACGTAGAGTGGTCTTGTAATGTCATCAGCCAGCTCTCTCAGCACTCAGATGCATTTTATTCCATATAATGAAATACTTCCTTTGCAGTTTCATATAAAATGTTGCATGCAAAGTTTTCCATGTAGCTTCCTATATCAAAACAATATCATGGTTACAAAGTTGAGAAAAGTTAGGAAACACCAAGCTCAAAGCTGTTCGTACAATCCCAGTTGTCCCCTTTTGTCCTTGTATAAATGCATATTATACAACCTTTATTACCTTATCACATTTGGTTCCTCTTCCCCGCCCCCCCCCGATTGAATCAGTATTGTGACAAATAAGATTATAAGAATCCTGGTTTATGTATTGTGTAACTTGCATGAGGGTATTGAATAAGCAGGGAATTTGTGAATGAGAAGGAAGGATTTAAAGTGAGTAGTGAGTAAGTAACTGAAGGCTGCTCTTGAGAACTGGATTTTTATCCTTGTCTCTGCCACAAAATGTCTGTGGTGATTGTTCATTCTTCCCCTTACAATTGGTGATAGCTGTCCTTTGAATATGTGGGAAGCTGTTAAAATACGAAGTTTAGTGATGGACTTCAATCTTAAATGTCTCTGGACAAAGTTAGTAGGCACTCCAGTTTTATCCATAGTGTTCCTGTGACTTAGTTTGCCATCTGTAACTGAGGATCATACATCTGTGTGATTTTCATGTTAAGAATGGGGATGTAACACTGAGGAGTGTGGTGGAGAAGCACCTTGAGGAACGGATAATTCCATTACAGGCTACATAGCTTAGAGGGTACTCAGTAAATAAGACCTCAGACTTCATCATTGAATGGTAAATAATCGGTATGAAGCAAACATCCATCTGTTTTAATGAACACACTTATTCCTCTGCGAACAACAGAGCAGTGGATACATGCAATTGCTGTCTGGTTCAATATGTGAAAAGTATTGAGCATGCAGTGGAGCACAGGCTGTCACTGGTGCCTCTGTGTGTTTCAGGAACAAAGAGTTATGCATGCCAAAGGAGCAGTTTTCCTTTCAGCTGTCAGGTGTGGAGGGAGGCAGAAAACCCAGTCTCTCATTTCCAGTAAGGATAGAACAGTTATGCCTGTGAATGACATCAGGAAAAGCTGTAGTTATTGAACGATGAGTGTCTTAATGTTTAATTGCACAGCAGTTAGTGTATTAGTGATGAATACTTTTTATCCATTTGAAAAATATTATAAATAGATGAATATGTGAATTTATTACGATGGAAAGTGGGCCTTGGTATCAATTGAGTAGCCATAAGTTAGAACATCACCTGGCAGCTTTAAGAGAGTTTAAGCAAAGTGTTGAGGCATTTTTTCTAGCTTTTTTTTTTCCCGCTGTGTGCATATAACATTGTAAGTCTTTTGACTACAAAACTGAAGGAAAAAAAAAAAAGGAGGTTTTCCACCTCCTTACTTCAGAGATTTCATTATGAAGGACTCACTTAAAAAAAGAACAGTATAAATTGCCAGGACAGGCTTTACTTTTTCTCGTCTATCAGAAACATTGTTTTTCTGTAGAAATTTCTTGCGTTTGACTTGCATGGAAAAGCAGAGGCCATTGTCACCTTCATAAGACTTTCAACAATCACTTCCTACAGCAGTTTAACAGTCAGAAGGAGTAACATACTTACGAAAAAGAAGATGATGCAAGTTCTCTCTGTAGTAGAGTTGTAATCAACGAAGTAAACAATAATTCTGCTGAGATTTATGCAAGTAAAGGTACTACTATTATTAATATTTAATGCTTTATTACACTTAGATGTACTTCTGGCCTGTACTGTTGCAGGTCTTGAACAGAGCAGGTAAAAACTATAGCTGGCACAGCATTCAGGAGAATGGTCTTATATGTAAGATTTTCAAGATGGAAACACCTCGTCTTTTTTTTTTTTTTTTTTTTTAGCAAAGCTCTTGGCAGAAGTGCCTGTACAACATAGGCAAGTACTTTTGATGTTTTTACAGGCATCAGTTGGAATATAATCCCACTCTTGCACAGTGTTTACACTATTATCTTTGCCTGAAGAAGGGACTTTTTAACAAATGGATTGAGTGCAGAATAATTGACTCATAGTGATGTTTAGGTTTTAAAATGTGAAAGATAGATGAGCTTAAGATGAGGAGAGAGACAGGAACAGTGTGCAAAGGAAAGTTCTGATACATCTCTGATAGAAAGTTGTGGATTGGTCTAGACAGTACTGATTTCAAATGACATGAAAGTGAACCAAAAATGAGGTTTAGTCAAAAATTTATTTCAATCAAAGTTGAAATTACTGTGTCCTACTGAACCCAAATCTGTATGAAACATGTCAAGTTCTTTATGGCACGTTCCTTGAAAGACAGCTATTTTCTGGATGTATGTTATGGTTCTCCCACTTTGTTTCATTTATGTGGGTTTTGTGCTTCTGTATATGTTTTCATAAATGTCCTACCTGACCTAAGCCTACTAAGGTCTTGTGGGTTACTGAAAGGTACAGTCCTTGCCAACTCCATCATGCTGGCCATAGTACTTGCAGTGTCAGTCAAAATGGATAGTTAATCACATTGAAAATTAATATCACCAAAGAAGATCCCTTAGGATTGGTTTTCAGTCAGATCACTTTTCTGACGGAGAGGGACTAACAGAAACACGCCTGTCAGATGTAAGGTGAATTTAGGTCTCTTAAACTCATTATAAACTGCGTCATATAAAATAATTTTCCTGTGCTATCTTAAAACAGATAAAGTCAGAAGCTGTAGCATATATGTAGGATGAAGTACCTTTTCTTGTTTTATAGAACTGTTAATCCTGAGAAACAGTCCAGAGTTCAACTAAGTCATTTCAGTAGAAGGAGGAAAGAGTGGGAGACAACTTGCAAGCAATCTGTTCAAATGAAAATTTGTCATTGCTGCAGAAGCTGCTTGCAGAACTTGCCCATTTCCCAAGAAGGCCATTTCACCTATCTTTCCGAGGTTAGACCTGAGTTGAGATGTTTTTACTGGTTCAGCAAAGCCTTAAGCAGAGGCCAGCGCTGCCAGTGGTGCAGAACATATTAATTATGTAGTACTTTGTGGTGTGGACCACTGCCTGTCAAAGATTGGTAACAAAGATCACTATATGCATTTCAGTTAGGAAACCATGCTCTCTGAAGCGGATTTTTTCTCCTCTCTTCATTCTTTTTTCAGCCTAGCAATCCAGAGATGGTGCTTCATCTTAGATGTTTTTTCTGTCTCTAGAAAAAGTAGCATAGAAGAGCTAAGAAAATAGCTCTTAACTGAAGACAAGGATCTAAAATTATCTTCAGATAAATAAAGTAACAATTGTATATTTGTCTTTACAGATGCTTTGAAAACAAATGAAATCCAGTTTGAAGGTTCCCTTGTCTAGCATCAAGTGAAGATCAAGCAATTTACAGTTTCATAACACTTGCACAAGAAATGAAAACAGTCTTACAGAATGAGTCTTTTGGGCATAACTTACGTAAAGTTCACATGAGCATACCTATGTAACAGTATTTAACAGTACAATGAGACATGGATGGAGAGAGAACACAATCTGCATATCAGAGGTTAATGGTTCTTCTTTCTATCTGTGACTTGAATAACCATCACTGACTGTTCAGCCTTCATTTCTATTGATGAAGGCTTTGAAAAATCATGAAATGGCATGCCCTCAATATCAGTGAGTGACAGCTTGCATTAAACTAGTAGTTCTGATGTAACATTCATTGATTGTTTTAAGATTGAATGTTGAGGATGGCAAACAAATACATTTAAAAACGCCACAGGTATGAACATGCTTGTTTATCTCATCCCTCTTGTGCTTTCTCAAGCATCAAGATCTTACATTATGAGCTTTTGTAGGGAGAGACTTGCAATTCTGTCATTTGGATGCTGTGGTAACTACATGCTTCTCAGTTTTCTCTCGTCTTTAGGAGTTGGATATCTGCTGTATGTTGTGAAGTCTTGGATTAGCAAATGGAAAAGGAAGTGTTAGATAAATGCACATAGTTATCTTTTAAAATACTTTTTAGTCTGTCAAATGCTTTATTAGAAATTCTGAGTTAGTGCGCGTGAACTATCCTACATCTGTTTTTACACCCTTCTCAGGAGTCTGGAATTGAGTGTTGTCTCTGCTTCCAGGGAATGTGTCCACCAAAGTCTGTGTTCAGGAATATTTCCCTTACTCAAAGTACTATGTTCCCCATGTAATCTAAGGCTAATTACCATATTACTTCAGACCATTTTTACAGGTCTCAATTGAATAGACTTCCTTTTTTTTTCTGGACTTCTTTCGCAGCTGACCAGCTGGGCAACTTAAAAATATTGGTGTGTTGCCCGCATCAAAATTCAGGAGACTGATTTCAGGATTTTGCTTCTTTTGTTGCTTCCTTTTATCACTATTCCAGTTACTTTGGTCGTGTTACTGATTTGAGTCACCCTTTTAATGTATCGCCATTTGTGCAGTGCAAATAACAAAGTTAGTCAAACATGAAACATTTTGAATAGTTTGTCCTCTTTTGATCGTAGCAAGTCTTTCCTGTGCTTTCACTTTACTTGGAACTGTGGACTTCCCTAATGAATAAGTAGTTTGATTTCTAATGTAAGAAGGCTGACATCTGACATCAAATCAGAATGAAATGAAGGACATAGGTTGTTGTTAACAATAGACAGTTACTTAGTTCTTGACAGCTTTGATTTGAGCAGGAAAATGAATAAATCAGACAATAAATATGTGTATTATTGTGAAATATGAAAGGTTAGGGGGATTGTGCGGTGTCTTAATGCACTGACCTTTCTTCTGTAAAGACATAATTTTTAAGTTCTGGTTATGCACCCAAATAAAAGCGAGTTTGCTGTTCTTCTCTGCCTTCAATGCTTCTGCAGTTCACAAAAACAAACACATAATATTAAAGAATTCAGCATGCTTGGGAATATCTATTTCAAGACAGGACCCCTTAGCACATCAGGGTTGACCTACATAGGCAGAAGGGCTGGAAAAGCTTACAGAACCTTGTGCTTTGTTCAAACTTCTACTATTAATCCCTCATTTTTCTGTGCACCAAAGTTATACAACATATGTTCACATAAATTTACCTGTTCCCTGAATTCTTTCTTCCTACTTAAAGTGCTATCTTTTGGACTTTGGAAAGAGGATCAATCCCCACAAGCCTCCAGTTTTTGGAGAAATCAAGTGTTTTGATAAAAAGACTGCTGTGAAAAGAAACAGCATTCCCCCTCTCCCAATGGTCCTTAACTTTTGAGGCTTTCTTGTATTTTTAGAGTGTGCTTTAAAGAGGATGTATTATCCCACTAATACTGCTCACAGGCAACTGAGAAAAAATCCATATAGCATTTCATAACACTGTAACTTTTGTTGAATTTCTGAGTGCGCTATTTGAACTGATCACAAAAAAACTTCTAATAAACTCTTCCCACAGAAACTGAAACAGAAGAATCAGCAGCTGAAGCAGATCATGGATCAGTTACGGAATCTTATTTGGGACATAAATGCCATGTTGGCAATGTGGAACTGAACAAGGAAAATCAAATGTAATTCCAATTGTAATTGGAAAGGATACAAATTTGTTTGGATATACGTAATTTCTTTCTAAGAAGTAACACATTTTCCCACAACCATATTGCAGTAATGTTTGAAAAGTCTTCAAGATTAAAATGTTGGGTTTTTGTAATAACTTAAATGGTGTTGGCTTTGTTTTTATAAAAGATTCATCCTACAGGTTTTACCTGAGTGATTCACTTAGGCTGAATATAATACAGCCTAAGTAATTTACAGTAATAATTTGGATTGCTATGCAAATGAGGGTTTTTATAAATGAAGTGTTTCTGGATTTTTTTTTAATAATACAATTAACACTGTTTTAAAAGCATGTGTTTGCATGCCATTCTGCAGTGCAGACCACCTCTACAGACAGGAAAAGCTGCAATACAGGAAAGTCGCTCTAGTAAGCTACAGGACCAAAATCTGTGATCAGACGTTACGATGCAATATGTTTCTCCATTGTGGGAACATATACTACAGGCTACTATGCCATATAAGTTCATCTTATTCCATATCGTATCGCTGAATATATGTTATAGTAGATCAATTGGAGCAAAATTCAAAAGCTACATAAAATTACCCCTATATCCTTATGGATATAATTAAGTCTTTTTAAGTGAAGACTACATACATATACCCTCAACACTAACTTCTTCTGTAACTATGTGTTGTAACTTCTTGAGTACCGCTCCAGCTATTGTATGGTGTAGTATTCCTGTAGCATTATGTATGGTTGGAATACTTTGATTTTGTTTACCAGAATGCACTGAATAAACGCTTCATTAATCTTTTCCCTATGACTGCCAGTCCTAGAAAACTTTGGAGTATATGAGCAGTTCATTATGTTGAGTTAATCATCAACCTTCATCTTTCTTTGTTCTGCCTCTGGTATTCCTCACAATTTCCATTAGCCCTGAAAATAGTCTTAATAATTTTTGTTATCCGCAGATGCTGCCAGTGGACTATGCATCTCTTTTTCCAGATGAAAGAATATGTAAAATAACACTGTTCAGTACATATCTGTAGGGCACTCTACTGTTAATATTTGTCAAGTTGAAAACTGACCATCCTCATGATTTTGCTTCTTTGTGTATTATTTTTAACTCTCATTCCATGCCCAGTCAGATTCCTTAATAGTTTTGCTTGAAAGGTTTGCTCAGAACCTTCTGAAGAGTCCAGTTAAATGGTATCTTTTTAAAAGATTTTTTTTTTACAACATGGGGTTTTGATACTGAATGCTTATTGATTTGAGATACATGGTTTTAAAAATGTTATACTGGTTTGTTGTTCTATCAGTCTTTTTTATTTTGCTTTTTAATAATTTCAACCCATTTGTCCACTCCTTGAGGTAAAAATCACTGTCATGTAATAGATCCGATCACGCCTGGTTAACAGTATATGACTTTTACCTCAAATTAGGTACAATATAGTTGTCTTTTTTTTCTCCTTTTGAAGGCTTTAAATCTTAACAGATGAATGAATGCCCAGTCTTATAACTGCAAATAAACAGAGTTAGAAAATGTTCATTTTGATTAGTTTACCCAGTGTTGAAAGCGATATGTAACTATGATAATACCTAGATGTGAGTAGATGTCAAAACACCTTACAAATAAGGTCGCTCTCTGTTCTCCCATATTACAAATGGAAGAGTGGATAGCTTACTCGGTGGCAAAGCTAGCAGCAGAACTGTTCGTTTCCCATTTAGATTGACCACTATGGCAGACTTGTTGGTCAGAAATAATGGTTGATTTCTGCAGCTGTGAGAGACATAACTATTCTATATACAAAGCTTTTGAAAAGGAGATGAAGGCTGCAAGTAGAGATTTTGTTTTGTTGTTTGATTAAAATGCAGGTGCATTTTTGTATTTGCAGGATGTAGTGGCAGCTTTCTGTTTAGTGTATGTGTAAGCATGCATCCAGCCTAGAAGAAGTATTTGAAGTGGATTTTGAAATGGCACCAAGATCTTAATTGTGAGTGTAAAATTCTCAGTATTTAGTATTTCGTTCTATTTTTGGAACAATTATGGAAAATTGAGATTAGTCTAGACTTTACTGCATGTATACTATCTATGTATTCTTACTAAATGTCTTTAAAGTTTGTTGACTTTTTTTATTGCATATAAACTGTGCAGAAGTAACCTAAAATGTGAATAAGAGTGCAAATATTGCAAGTAGATGTCTGGCCAATACAATATTCAGCTTACTCTGCGCAGCTGCTAGCAGTAGCCAAGGTTTATACTACAATTTTTCATCTGGGAGAGAGGAGAAAACACTTTAAACCACTACCAGAATAGATAGCGCAGCAGCTAAATTGCAAAGTGCAGAAATTGACAGAATTATAAATTATCACAGTAAATACTGCCAAAACAGGAACTTTGCAAGGTGTTGGACCAAAACCATACACTTTGACTTACACAGATGAAAGTAAGGGTAGTGAACATAATTCATATGCTACCACATCCATGAATAAGTATAGGATTTGGCCAAGAAGATGACAGTTTCAAGAAAAGTGGCAACTCCTCAGCTGTGAAATGCTTTTAAAGGAATTACTGGGCATCAACATGTGCTGAAATTTAATATTTAAGTTAATGCTAACTGAACTTTAACTGCTGGTTAATGAAATGGCACAAAATGAAGTATTTACAAATACCAGCAAAGCAATACCAACACAGATGTTTCAATGTTTTGTTTATATATCATTGACTATTTCTGTATTTCTGATTAGGCAGAAGCTGGATAAACATAGAGATAGTCCCAGGAGCAGATACCAGAACCTAGGATGGTTCTATTTTTGGAATATAAAAATATTTGAGGGGGTTGGGGTTCTTAGGGCTCTATTTTGCCCAGAGAGGACTTGGGGCAGTGGAGCTAGGATGCTGAATACTTTGTAGCATGTTTGTGCGAGCCCCCCAAGTTAACACATACTCTCAGAATGAAAACACTAATCCAGCACCTTTGTAGACAATAGAACAGATATTGAATGTTCGGTTCAGTGTCACAACACAGAAGATGCCTGCTAGGCAGTATGCAAAGGTCCAAGGTTTTTCTTACATAAAAAGGCAAGAGTGCAGAGCAGATTATGCCATGCTCAGGAAAGATGCAAGGAGTTTACCTTTCCTCTTGTCTTCCGTAGAGGCAGCAAGGCCACATCCAGAGTGCTGTAATAAACCATGACTGTTTTTGTTGTCCTGTAGAAAAAAAACCTGCTCTGATTATAGTATTTCTCACTGATGGAGAAATTGGAGCTTGTGCACGAGTGCTACTTAAATTAATCACTGTAAAGAATGGATTTAGGTGGAGTAGGACAAGGATTCTGGGCTCATAGGAACTAAGATTTCATCAGTGTGCAAGATGGCTGCACAAGCCAGAAAGATTACAGCTGAAGGATGACTGACAACTGCTGTGGAAAACAGCAAGCTCCGGATGTAGATTTGAAGATCTGAAGTTAAGAAAAAACATCCAAAAAAAGATGCAATGACACCCAAGGACACTGTGAGTCAACTGAGGTTTACAGAGGATGGATTAGTTTAATTACTTCGTGCTAACAAAGGAAATGGGGAATTATAAAGGAATTTACAAATACATCAGTGCAGAAAAAAATATTTGGAGGAGAAAATGAGTAGTTTGCTCACTCTCCTTATTTAATGGTAGTGGCAGAGCATCAGGGCTTTAAAAGAGAAGGTTTTTTGTTGAGTTGCAAGGTTATTCTATTTTTATACATAAAAATAACAAGCTGGCTGATACGTATTGCAGGATATTAATGAAAGTGACAAAAAATATGTACCAATGCCAGTTTTTATTTAAGAAAATGTAATGGATAACTAGACTGTAAGAGGTAAATAAATGCAATATAGTGAAACTTTTGTCTTGTTAAATCTAACTTCTGTGTAAATTTTAAGGATTTTTCTTACTCACATTGCATAAGGGACGCATTCTGTCATCTGTTACAAAACTACACAACAAATAACACTACTAAAAGCCGGGAACAGTGTTTGTGTTGATGTGAATGTAGTCAGAAGCAGAATACATGTTTTACAGCACTTCTCACTGGACTAGATCCAGTAAAGACCATAGGCATGTTTGAGGCAAATAAACAGAGACGTGGGTTTTTGTGTGCACTTAACGCTGGGAGCATCTCAGCTCGTTGTATGCCTTCATTTCAACTTGCAGGCTAGCTAATTGCTTAGAGTTCTGCTTCTGCGCATGTTCCCAGGAGCT